ACTTAGCTAAATCTATAAATTTCTAAGGAAAAAAATGCAGTACTTTGTATAGAAATCATTTACTCTGACTTTGGCAAGTAAATTTTCATTTAGACATAGACTTAACAGAATTTTAATTCTCTAAATCATAAATAATTATGGATAAAGGTATAAGTAGTCCAAGTATTTAATAATGTTAATATTTATTATATGATATAACTATATATTTTCTTTTTTATTGTTTTTAAAAAATGTTTTAATGGAGGTACTGGGGATTGAACCCAGGACCTCGTGCATGCTAAGCATGTACTCTGCCACTGAGCTATACCCTCCCCCTAGAACTGTATAGTTTCAAAATACAATGTGGCCCCAAGACATATTACATAATGTGCCTTATTATTTAAAGGATCAAATAAAGTATCACAATTCTTAGGTGCTCATTACATTAGCAGGCATTATCAGGATAAAATGTTCTAAAATACATTTTTTTTTCTTAAGAGAGTAAGAAAATTAGCTCTTTATCATGAACAACTTACATTCAAGTCTAAATATCATTTTGCTTTGCTTTGTTTTGTTTTAAAGAGGTGCTTACTATAAGCACTTTGAGAACAGTATTTTATAATAACTTTCGTATCTTATAAAATGGATGTTTTAAGAACAGAAGTTTTGGTTATCTTTAATCTCACTCCTCTGTTGTATTTAGTTCGTGACACTGAACACAATCTCAGTGTTACTTCTATTCATACTGAGGGATCATTCTTCAGACATAGGGTTTCTAAATCTTTGTTTCCTCACCAGTCACTCTGGTAGTACAAATGTAATGTTCCTTTGCCCTATTTTCTTCTTTAATCATTTATGTTAGTCTTTTCCAAATTCCATATAATCTGGCCACATTCTTTTGGTAATAAAGTACATAAAATCGATTGTAATTTTCCGGGTCAAGTCATAACAGAGTCATTTAAATGTCAACAGTCCTATTTTTCAAATGGGGATGTCTGAGTACTTTACAGCTCTGCACACTGAACAGGAATATTGTCTATGGGCACTCAAATGTCATGCTTCAGGGAGTACACTGGAGAGTTTGTAAAGAGATAAGCAAGTGCTCCTTCCCTCCTCAGCATTCACTATTTAACTAACTCAATTTATCCACTCTGCTTTTTTGTTAACTTTTTTTTTTTGCATTAGTTTTCAGTTCTACAACTATTGGTAATTGCCATAGGCGATACAGAAAATTACATAAGCCAATAACCTGGCACTGTATTGAAATTCTCTTCCTGGTAACTATCTTGAGCTTGTAGTTCTTAATAGGTAAATGTCATTTTATGTATATAGAGAAACACATTCTCCTCCAAACAACAATTTCATGATTTCCTATACGGTGCCCTTCAAATTTTCAAATGAACTTTGTGTAAGATGCTAAAATTAAAGATTTCTCCTTGGACTATAATTATCAGAAATGTTTTAAATTAGTGCAACTTATAGTAGAAGATATGATGAGGCTTACGCTAGATTTCTTTTGTGTCAATTATTATCAAATATAGTTGTCACAACTATTCAGGAATTTCAAAGCAGTACAAGAGAATGACACACTCCTTTTTGTGTGTGCCATCACACAAGTAACTAGTCAGAACTGATAAACAGATATTCCCACCTGGTACCAGAGATGCGCACCCCCAGCTAATATCAGGGGCTAGTTTGGGAGATAAATATACAAAGTAAAAGAGGGAACAACAGAAATTGTCTAATTTCTGCATGTGAGATTTCACCCCTCCACCGACTCCAATTAGCGTGAACCACAGAAGGGATGTGGTTTTAATTTTTGTTTCTGTTTTCCAGAGAGGTTAGGTTTTCTATTGAACTCACTTTCTTGTGTGGCGGAAAGGAATATGATAGGACAAATCATGGCTGACTTGGCGCTCATGAAGATTTTTAGTGACACTAACATCTCTGTCAATGCAGCTCTGTGTGAACTGATGCATTGCTGGGGCAGTACGGTGACCTCCTGATAGCAGGAGCAGAAAGTCCCATCAGATTGCTTTCATGCTAATTAGACTCATTTAACAGGCTGAGTTTCCACGTCTGATTCTCGTTTCCCATATCTGATTATTCTACGAGCAATGCAATCAACTAAATCAAACAGGAAATATGACAGATTCTGACATCTAGTTGGGCCTGGTTGAGCTATGCATAGAGTAAAAGTGGGGGGTGGGGGTAAGTAAAAAATAGTCTTTTCAAAATTTTCATCTCTGGAATTTTAATTCCAGTTAAAATCACTTGCTCTTGTGTTCTAAAATACATACCAGTGGTTGTTAAAAGAAGTCTTCAGTTTTTTTAATTGAAAAGGAGGAGATGAATAAACAGAACCAAACATCTAAGATGCACAATGACAATATTTGACTTCAAATTTTATATATATATATATATATATAAAATATATAACATATTATGTGAAGTAAAATATTGAATGCTAAAATTAGCACATATGTTTAATTCCATAAATGGGCAATTTGTTAGTAGTAAATAAGCAAAGGTTTGCATTAGTGAAAAATATCATTCTTTTATTTCTTTAGCATATTTTAAGTAAAATGTGCTTATTTTTATATCTGTCTGCCTTCTGATCTGTGTTTATCAGTTTTAACTAGTTACTCACATCCAGTCATCTTTAATACTAAAAACTTTTCAGTATTTACTATATTAAGTTCTTGATATAATGTTACTGAATATACAATGCTAGGGTGCTTTAAAAAAAAAGCTTTGATTTTGTATTTATTACCACAATATATTTTGTTGAGAACAAAACACTGAAGCAACTTTAATTAGCACTGAGAAATGATAACTGTCAGGCTATGGATTCTATATTAACGATCAATATTCCTACTCAGTACTGCAAAGAAGGTTTTGAAAGTTGCAAGGACAAGGAAGACCAAGAAACATGGCAGCATTACTATTTTGTCATTCTGAGAATAAGCGGCCCTTTTGGAAATACGCCTCTGCTGAATGTAATGTCAGTTCAGGCTTCTTTCTCAGAAGCAAACAAAGGCACTCTTAAGAGTATCTGCCACAATTTAAACCCAATTGCTTTGTTGAGTCCTAGGTCCACTAGGCAATTTGTCAGAAAAGATCATGGGTAACTAATTTGCTTTTGCTTGCCGTGGCTGTGATCATGGCTTCTGACAGACAAAGCCCTTGCATAGCCAGGAGGGACATATTATATCATTAGATCCACTTTTTGCTTATAGTCATGGAAAGTCTGGGGTTGAGAATAATGTCCCTGTATTTGCAAAGAGGGTTCTTTTGCTCGTGACTGGTTGCTATTTCCTCCACTGTTGGAGATTATCCATTTCCTCCTTCTCCAAAGCCCAGATTATTCTAAGAGCCCTAGAAGCTTTCTGATCCACTGTGCAGGTGGTACGTTCATAATCAGGATCTGTTCTGGCCTTCTGTGTGGATTGTGATCCACAAAGATATCTCCCTGTGGAAGCCTGAAAGCCTTCATCCTCTTCCGTGGCAACATGTCTCACCCCAAATGTGCCCAAGCTTGACAGATCAAATCTCAGACAAATGACTTGTAAAAAATTAGTGAGTGGGGTGGGTGGATCAGCATCAGTCTACCTGTTGGAAGAACAAAAGTTGCCCGTCCTACCTCCGTCCCCCTTAAAGACCAACAACAAATTCTTTCCTTTTCCTTCCTTTTCTCTTCTCTCTTTCTCTTTTCATAGATTGTATTTCGCCACTCCTACATTCATCTTAGCCAGATTTCTATCCTAAAAATTAAAAATAATATTTTATACATTATTTCCCCACATGAACTGGACACAACCTGCGAAACAGGAAGAAAGATGTTATCAGTGTGGGATGAGGTAGAGGGAAACAGCTTGAAATTTTAAAGTCACATGTCTTAGGTCAAATTCTAATTCTGACAGTGTGATTTCGGGCAAATAATTTAAATCTTCTCTTGTTCAGTCACTTATTTTATTAACTGGAATAATAATGATAGTATATACCTCAAAGAGCCATTGTAAGGACTAAATTAGCCACTATCAGTAAAGAATTTAGCCCAGTGCCTAATGTTGTAATGTCTTGCTGAAATTTACCTGTTATTACACAGCACAAATATGTAGCAGGGATGGAACTCAGATCTGACTAGGAGTCCAATCATTGCTCTACCATGTCCTGGAAAAATGTAGTTAAATATTTTTTATGCAGCGTATTTTTTGAATTTCCAGTTAACGGGCCCAAGAAATTCTTTACCCTCAACCTCATGGATTCCTAAGAAAAAATTAGGTTGCTTAGAAACCTAGGGAAGTAGTTCTAAAGATGGATTCAAACACAGTACTTACAGTTCTGCTACTACATAGCAAAAAAAAAAATATGTTATGTTTAAGCATTTGACATTTTCCAAGAAGTTCATGCTCAGTACAAGAATTGTTTTTTTAAAAAAATACAAATACAGTCAGTCTGGAGTTTATCTCTTACTTTAAATCTTCAAAGGGCAGCCAAATCTGTCTCAACAAAACTCAAAAGAATCAGTGAGATAGTACTTATCTCCTCAATGAAGAACACACAAACAGCTCATTTATTTTTCAAGCCTTCACTGCAATGTACAAGTATAGGATTTCAGTGGCTGCTAGGATTCTGTGAGTTGCTCTAAATTGCCCAGCTTTCCTACACTTTCAATTAAAAGGGAAAAAGAAGGCACTTTAAGTCTAAAAATGTGGTAAATCCTAATCACTCTTCAGTGGCTGCTTTCTTATATGACGATGAGCATCGTAACAGTATTTTCTCCATTTAAAAAAAAGTGTAGCCCTGATCTATGGATATATTTGGTTAATAATGAAAAGCCTAGTGTTCTCATGGTGCTGATGTTTGCAGAAGATTAATATTCACCCATCTTTGGATATAACCATGTTATACCAAATGAAACAAAACCTGCCTCTCAACTCTTAAAGATAACTCCTGTAGCTTATTAACATACATCCTTCCAGAATACATAACACACACACTAAATTTATGTTTTTGTATTTTTCCTTTAATGTAGTTCACATCACTTTTAAAGACTCTTCCTCTAAATTCGCTTTTATTTCTGTTTGATTTCACTCAATATGCTATATACACTTCTTTCCATTTGACTTTTTAAATGAATTTAAATCAAATTCTAATTATTTAGTCTCCAAAAATTTGCAAATTCTTCCCCTTCTCCTTTTAGCATTTTAAAAAATGTTCATTCTCCAGCCTTTTCTCCTTTATTCTCATCTATACAGGCTCTTCCCGTAAGTCAACTCGCCAATGAAAATTCCAGTTTGGTAAGTTAAAGTGTAGTCAGTAACTATGTTATTCAGATTATACTAAATATTTTTCAGATACTTTATTGAACAAAAATTACCAAAAATCTATTTTTCTCGGTATTGTGTGTATATACATCAAAATTCCAATATACAGCATCGTGATGTATGAGGAAATAACATTGTTCATCTAAATTAATCTTATGATACACATAAGATTACTTCAGGTTAACCTTATATTAAAGTGATTTATTTTACCAAGTGTTATGAGGAAAGCATTTTGACATAGTAAACAGATATTTCTCCTCTTTTTTATTAACATGATTTCATCTCATGATAAATCTGAGAAATTGAAATACAAGCAAAAGGAACATTTCATAAACATTAATAAAGGTCAAAAAAGATGGCTTAAGAAGCAATGTGAAAATATGTCTAACTTTTCAGCTAGATCGTTTTGATCTTTTGTTTGGAGAATAATTTAAAAAATACATAATTATACAAAAAATACAAAACACTAAGGCAGTAAAACCACATGGTGATAATCAACACAAGAGCCTTAGCAGCCATCCAGAATTCAAGCTGTGCATATGGAGAACTCAGCTTTTCAAAAAAAATGTGTATATTAAGGTTATTCTCTGTAATCCATTTGAGCTATGAGTAATTTAGTAAGTAGAATTAGATTTTATTTCCAAAGGTTGTTTTCCGTATCACTGCATGCTTACAGACAAGACTTAGGCATGATGGGTCCTAGCACCCTACTTCCTGTTAGTGGAGATAGCAGCAGTGTTTTACACGATAAATAATTTGCTCTCTTGACCTATGACCACTTAGTAAGAAAATGGATTTAAATTTCTAAACTCTTACGGAAATTTAAAATAAAAAATACTTTTAACAAATACTTGTCAAATAATTAAATTCTTATTGAAGGTGATGAGTGATGTTGATGTGGGCTAGGAAAGTAAGGGGATTTTTCACCACCCATAAAATGTGTGAAAGATAATACTACTTTACGTTTAGGCACACCTCAAAATGAATCTTTTTTTCTTTTTTCTTTTGTTTCATGAGGGGGAGGTAGGTAGGTTTATTTATTTATTTATATTTGGAGGAGGTACTGGGGATGGAACCCTGGCCCTCCTGCCTGCTAAGTATGCGCTCTACCACTTGAGCTATACCCTGCCCCCTAAAAACGAATCTTAAGCAGTCTTTCTAGACGAAATGTTTTGTAAATTCCACTCATTTAACAAATACCGAGTGCCTGACAAAAGTTGCAAAATAGTATCTGTTGGATGAATAGGTATCTCAAACGTGCTTGGCTTTGGGTTATAGGGGAAAAAATGCAAAGTGATATGGAATCCACCCTGGAGAAACATTTAAAGTGGTAAGGCTTGTACATAGAAAGCACATGTATTCTGTAGGGCGCGGAAGGTGATATGTCTTTAAAAAGATAGTTCTGACCACGTACTACGTACGTACGACAAAAGGGAGGGGTCACGGAGGAGGCCAAGTTTGAAGCGGGCCTTGAAGTGCTGGAATGGTTTAGACCTAAGACTGGGAGAGGCGCATCCCAGGAGAGACTGGCGTGCAGTGCACAGAAATCAGCAGACACTGTTTAGTAGGGAATGTGGACGCTAGGAAACGTTCATGAACAGAGAAGTGTTATGTCAGGGTGCAGTCGGGGAAGAGTAACCTGCAGGAAGTACTTATACGACACTGGAAAGGCTGGAGGCGAGGCGCAAGAATGGATATTCTGCAGGTCCCTCGAAATGTGGAGCTGAGTCTTGAAAACTGGTCAGGAGTTGGCGATAAAGGTTTGGGGATCTGGGAGTCCTTTTCCTTCCCCTAGTGTACTTGAGAAGTACTTGAGACGCCCGGAGGACAGCAGAGGACCAGCACAGGTCTTGGGCGGAGGGCGATGGCGTCTGAAGGACCAACGTTTATACTAAGCATCCGGCCCAACATCTAGCACCTCGGAAAAAACCACTTAGCACAAGGTGAGGTCCGCGGAGAGGTGGGAAGTCAAAGTGTAGAGAATCCTAGATAGTAGCGCATCCCAGTGTACGTCAGGGCTAAAACAGAAGAAAGAATTAAATGAGATATTTTAAATTGAGTGTATTTAGACCTTCTTCCATAGCTGTATTTCCCGACCTAAAGAAACTCAGAAAGGAGTTCCAGCTTTAAAAATATTGTCATGGCCTACATTCTTTTTAAAAGGGGTTTCAAGCTACGATGGTTTCCTGAAAGCCGGTAACTATGCCGGCTGTCTCTACCTCGTTCTTGTTAAGGAGTACATAGGTCAGGAACCCGGAGAGCCCAATGATGTTATTATTCAAGTTTATCCTGTCTTTACCTTGACTTGAAGGTGGAGAAAGGTCTGGGTGTCCATCTGGTGGCCTCGCCAAGGAGGAACTTGGCTCGGTTCTCTGGATGGCAGGGAAAGCGGGCAAAAGAAAGCAAGCCAGAGTATCAATAGCGCCCCCGTGGGAAGCAAGAGTTAAGGCTGTTACCGACCCGGCTTTTCTCTCAAACCCAGGAAAGCGGGGTTACTGGGGCTGACGGCGGCCCTCGAGCGGAGCTGGAGGTGGGAGGAGGAAAGTCAGGTCCTATCTGCGCCCCTAGTTATCCCCGCACTCCTTCCCCGGGAGAAAACTCTAGGCCCCATCACTCAGGAGCGGTCTCTCGCTCTGGTTGCCCGGGTAGAGCAGCTGGCCGGGGTCAGGGGCACGTAGGGGCGAGCTGGGAGAGCCCAGCAGCTGGGAGCAGAAGGGCCCAGGGAATCCCGCGAA